TTCGAGTGGCAGGTTTCCGGATAAACTCCTCTGTGAAAGGGTGTTAGTATTGCCTTACGCCGTCTATTCCAGAAACATCACAACGAAGGACACCAACTCTTGGCATCATATTGCACCTATGTTGGGATGGCAGATTAGAATTGATCCCATTTATCCACAACACGTACACAGAAATATAAATGTTAAGTCGCAGTATGGCTGAAGTAATGCTAATACGTCGTTAAAATTGAACTCACCCACTCACTCTAAACGTTCATTTACTGCGTAACGCTCTAAATTTCATCATCCCCATGCAGCTTGTCTGTCTCACAGTCCCTGAACCACATTATTTCCCCCCACTGCCAAACTCTCTCTGCAGTGCTAAAGCCCTAAATAAAACAAGTCTAAATTTCCTCAGGGAGGCTCTGGGCCCCGTTCCTCAAAGCGATCGACAGTCGTAAGTCTATGAGGAACGGGGCTCTGGTCTCCCTGGGGCTCCTTTTCAATTTAAATGGGCTTGTTTCGTTACTATCAAAATTATATATCAGGGGTGGAAACAACCCATTGCCCGACGCCCGAGTCCAGTGTTTTTTTCTGTCGGGCAAGCAAATTTGTATATCACACTGTACCGGTGTCCAGTTGATATTCCAATGTTAATTATGTTGTTCATTTAAAAAACCAACAAAAAAACGGCCGGTATAGTGGAAAAATTATCAGGGCAAGTGATTTTACATGTGCCACTGTACCGGAGTACACTAGCAATTTTAAAGTTATTTCCACCCCTGTATATATTCAGAGACTAAGCATTAGTCTACCATGCAGCCTACAGACTGAACGCGAGCCCCGAACGCGTGCTCATGTCAACGAGCGAGTAACAAATCCGTAACACAAGCCATTAAATAAACTAGACATCTTCCTCTCGTATTCTAGGCATATGGGGAATCGTTTGTCGAGTGTACAAGACACCAAGAAACTAATCTAACTCTTAGGCTAATAAACAGTGTTCTCGGAGATATCTATCGTTGATTTGACTTAGGTGCGGTGTGGACGAAGACCATGGCTCGCGTTCAAAACACTTTCTATAATTAGTTCCCGTTTTTTTCCCCCTCTATTTATTTTCCTGCTCGCCGTACCTACACACGTATATAATTTCATCTTGTAAATTCTTGCTGTTCATTTATGAACAAAGAATTACATACATTGAAATGCCACCGTTATGGCTATACGCCATGTTATCGTATTACAACGGTTTATTCAAGCAATGAAAATCACAATGAACAGGTAATATATCATTCACTACACGTTTGGTTCATTAAGTCTAGTGTTTCAACTGTAGGCTCTGAACATCGTAGGTGGAAACTCGTGTTTTAAGGATTAGCCCAGTTTATTTCTACAACTAACCTTTATAAACTCTTCAATTAATCAGCGTTTGTTTGTTTGATACTTGCACTAATGATCAAAACACGTACTTAGCATTATACTTGTATGCTCAAACTTACTTCCTTTCGAAACTCTTAAAATTGTGAAAATGTCAGAAATCTGTCATTTTCAATCATTTGTTATACAGAGGTACTTTTATCCTAAGACTGAAACGTTAAATATTAAAGTAGCCGATTCGGTGCTAATACAGTGTATTATTTAATTAAACTGTATGATCAAATGTTGAGGTTTCGTGATAAGACTATATTCTGGTAAATTTACCTACTTAAATTTGACCTACACTTCTAAATTTCATATGATATTGTTATTGCGTATATCGTTATAGTACCTCGAGAAGGTTAACATCGTCATCATTTCGTAAACTAGTTTTAGCTGTTGTTATCGCATCATAAAATAGATTTTGCGATTATAGCATATTGTGGTAAATATCGTAATGATACGGTACAGCGGAAATTATCACATAAACTCAAATGTTATTATGGTACCTCGTCAAGGTTCTTATTGTCATTATATGAAAAATATATGAACATCGTGATTTATCGTACGATAGTAACTATCGCGATATATCGTACAATGGTAACTATCGTAATGTATCGTACAGTTGGAACTATCATGATATATCGTACAGTAGTAACTATCGTGATATATCGTACAATAGTAACCATCGCGACATATCATACAATAGTAACTATCGTGACTATATTATATAATGAATATTGTGATAAGATATATATTGTGATAAATATCGTAATCATACCGTATAGTGGTAATTATCATATGGAAATGAATATCGTCATGGTACCTCGTTAAGGTTTATATCGTCATCATTTCGAACAGTAGTGAAAATCGTGATTGTATCACACTGTAGTGAACATCGTGATATATCGTACAATAGAAAGTATCGTGAATACATTATACGATAAATGTGTTGATTGTACCTCTGTAAGCCTGTAAGGTTTATATCGTCATTACATCGTACAATAGTAACTATCATGATTACACGTAAAAATATCGTGACATCGTATAAAGTAACTATTATTAATCCTTCGTAGTGAAATTGTAATTATATTACACATCAATAAATATCGAGATCGTACCAGAGAAAAAAAGATCTCGACTTGTCGTTATTACATCGTATCAACACAGATCTCGACTTGTCGTTATTACATCGTATCAACACAGATCTCGACTTGTCGTTATTACATCGTATCAATACAGATATCGACGTTATACGTAATCGTCGGTACATCCGGGTCCATCAGCGTCATGCCCTATACTGCCACACAAATATATTCTAGGAACCGTCTGAAAGAAATTTTAATGATTAAACACTATTACAGTAAATATCGCGATATCATACCGTTCCAGTGTTAACACTATGACTATTACGATGCGATACAAGGCACGTCTTAATACATCGTAATAAAATTGGCATGGGGAAAACGTATACCAGAGAGGAGATTGTGAAGATACCCTATTAGAATATATAACGCGCTGATTCCTTCCTGGTCGTATACTGAACACAATAAGTTAGGGATCATGAATACTTTTAGAGTGAGTGAGTATAGTTTTACGACGCACTCAGCGCTAATCCAGCTATATGGCGGCGGTCTGTAAATAATCGAGTCTGGACCAGACAATCCAGTGATCAACAGCATGAGCATCGAACTGCACAAATGGGAACCGATGACATGTGTCAACCAAGTCAGCGAGCCTGACCACCCGATCCCGTTAGTCGCCTCTTACGAATACTTTTAGAGATAGTTTCCTGTAGGATTGAACACACAGTTTCATAATTATCATCCTAAAAATATTCATGATCCCTAACTTGTTTTGCTCAATATATTATCGGGTACGGTAAACTACGGATATAACGAACTCAAAGGGACCACTAGTATTTTAGTTCGTCCTAACCGTAGTTCGTAATACGCATTTCGACTGAAATATAATGCAAATGGCCAGGACCAAAAACAACAGTTCGTTATATATATATATATATCTCTTTGTTCGTTATAAACGCAGTGTATATACGTACGTAAGTTCATAAATACACTTATGCTTACAGAATATACCATTATTTACCAATGTTCATATTCCAAGGCAGGTTGCTTAGTAATGGTGCTATCTAACACCACCCGCGAATAGTGATGTCAGGTTTAAGTAGGTCATAGCTATAACCCATCTCCTCCTCTGCATGACCTCATGATGACTGGTGGTATAACATATGAATCTTCCACATGACCGTGTTACCGATACCAGGAGCTATGCCGGGTCCCCTTTAGATGTTCATGTTCAGTTTATGGCCTAGCCCTCTTTAAATCCAGCTAAATGTCTTAAACGTATCTTAAAGAAGTCCAGAAGTGCTCCCTCAAGCACCTGCCCTGCGTTCAGAGAGACTTCACCATGCGCTTCCATTCCTAAGTTTCTGCTTACATTATATATATTACTCAGACCGTCTCGGTGCCTCTTTAGGTTCAATAATCTTGAGTGAGTGAGTTTAGTTTTACGCCGCTTTAAGCAATATTCCAGCAATATCGCGGCGGGGTCACCAGAAATGGGTCCACACATTGTACACATGTGGGGAATCGAACCCGGGTCTTTGAACGCGTATCCACAAGACTACCCAATAACCTTAACCTCACACCCAATTTGACCTCACCTCAACGTTCAAATTCCCTACCTTTCAGTTTAAATCGAAAGGTATCCTAAAGTTGTCTTTTGGTCATAAGTGTAGCATCTTCGTATTCTTAATACAACAGGTAACGGTTGTAGCAATAAAACGCATACGCATCGCCAACGCGAACGCATACCAATAGTGCACAGAATACATACCCTTATTGCTATCTCATATATATATATATGTTCAGTATGAAATTTAACATTACAAACCGTTGGCGTCAGAAACAGTTTGCGCTGTAATTGGTTTGTAGTAAATGTCAGACACGTTATTCAATCATAACAATTATAATACGCAGTCATTTGTTGTGTCAATGTTATGAGTAATTGAACACGCTGAAGGGGTTGGAACGTAACGTTCGAACACGTATAAGACACGGAGACATGAAACTTTATATACTCTTAATATACGTTTACTATAAGCCCTCTGTTCCATTGTCGGCAATGGTGTGATTGATTGATTCCGGCAGTTCACACGCCCCATAAAGGCCACCCGATACCAGAATGCTATACCATTCCAAAACGAATATATGTATACACAATATGGTAGATACCTCTTGGTAGAACGACATATAAAACTGATAAATAGGTCGACGTGAGCTTGCAAATCCAATTTGCAATGCGTAATAGCGAGACATGGTGGCATCTTATGCAGATAGTGTTAAGGCGAAAGGCGTTTGTAGGGGGCTGGCGAGAGCCTAGCTAAACATTGACACATTCTTCCTACGTTTTTTCTGTTACAGAAATCGACTTCTGTCATGCTTGTGTAGAAAAGGGCAAGAGACAAATACACTCTAAACGTTTTGGGTGCATTTAAACATCGATTTGGCATGTAGCAGCATCAAAGTTATGCATCACGCTGTCGTCTGCTACATGCAACAGTTGTCGTCTGCGTTCAAACTCACCCGATCGGATGCAGTCAGCCAGGGTTCCTCCAAGACTTGTCTTCTTTTCCTTGATTTTTTCATACACCTCTTTCGTAAGGTGTTTCTTAAGAAGAGAGTTGCAGTTTTCAGCTTCAGACAGTTTGGTAAACATTGCGTCTTGTTCTTCGGCCATATTTACAAGATAGCTCAATATACTTCAGGTATCTGATCCTTTTAAAGAAATTATTAAGTTGCTTGTGGAGTTTAGGCGGTACTTTTCCAAACACTGCTCCAAAAATATTCCAAGGAATATACACGTCAACTGCAGCTAGCACTAAACTGAGTAAATGATTTAACAAATTCTGCGGCTATCCTTGGAGCGAATATATCCCGTGAAGTTACCTCCACTGTTACAGCGATGTGTTTCAGCCGAGGGAAGCAGACGTACTGCTGAATCGATCCGTGTGGGGTTTTAAGGAGTGTCGAGAGAGCTTAACTCCGGCACATTTCGAGTTGAAACATGCTTCCGTATCCGTTTTCTGTAACTCCTTTAGTTATGTGTTGTTCATTCAGAGAATTATACATAAGCGGATCAGGCCCCCAACAGTTCCCATTTACGATCAATCGACCATCTAATTAGTCGGCATTGTTCGTCGCTATTGGTCCCCCTGTCGGGTCTCATAGATGCCTGTCTCTCGAGTCGAGCAACCATTGGGCTTGTCGCTATGATATTTCTCCCCGTCCAAATGCATCAAACATTCCGCCGTCGTCACCGTCGCACGAATGTTGCTGTCGGGAGCGACGTAACGTTAAAATATAAACAATTTAAACGGGGCCACATATTGTTGTAAAATATTACGCCTTCATTTGTGACAAGTGCTTTCAAAGACGCTATGACATTAGTATGCAGGGTTATCTTATCATGAATTCTTGATTGACAGGTGTTGATAACACAAAACAGTAAGCTGCATTCTTTCATATGTCAGTTATTTTTTCCGCAAGAAAATAAACGAGATTGTTATACAGCTGTAGTTTGTTAGGGTGCGGTGTAACATGGCACTGAATGGGAGTTGAAGAACTATGTATTTATACACGGGAAGTTCTGCTCAAGCTAATATACTCAGGAATTAAAAAAACTGCATTCTTTGCAAAGTTACAGCAAAGATAAATTGTTACAACACTTCAAACACTATTAACTGAAGGTATGCGCGCTCCATCGTGGCGTTAAAATGCGATTTGGCGCTGAAAATACATTGAAAAGTATATATTTTTGTAATTTATAGAAATCAGTAATATTTTTCAATAAAGGGCGAGGAAGCAACCCTGTTAAATCATACAAAAGTTGTTATCCATGATAGTTTCATGACATGGTCACACATTATCAAACTATTTGGTCCCCACAAATATTTTACAGATTATTTTCCAGCTAAGATAATGCAGGCCAAAAGCGTTTTATTGGAAATGCTATTTTAAAAGCATTTATTTCTTTTAACAAACGATAGACAGAAACATATGGTTTTGATGAAAAATTTGGAATGTGTAAATAATTGTTGAAGGATCGTATGTTCTTGAAAGTAAACATTAAAGAATTCAGCTTATTTGTTAATGTGTCAAATGCTTTGCATAATGAAGGCTGATTAACCTCTGAAATCACAATCCATACTTGATTGGATTTGTCGGATTATCCCGCTACCGTAGATCCCCGTCATTAAACACCATGGCGATACCCCGATAAGATTGTATCAAAATCAATGCTTCTATAGTTGATTACACTGATATATAATTAACCGTAAAAAGACAATGAATTATTAAAAGACTTCATTAACGAAACGACCGTTCACCGTACTTAGTATGGGAATCAGGTATGTTCCATTATCTCGCTATTGTTGACTCGCCTAAGTAGCGAATGGATTATAATTAGTATCAGTATGAATGTAGTGCACTTTATTGCGTAAATGTGTTTTGATTACTGTTACATACATTGATATAATCACTTCAGGAGGACCAATGGTCTAGTTAACAACTCGTTATGCAGGGTAATGTCCCTTTGCATATAGGCCCACTTGTCCCTTTCGGTCCTTGGTATACTAACGCTTAGTGCCTGAATATATACTCATGCCAATAATGGTTGTCACCCCCTTCAATTTTTTTAATTGGAGAGGGGATGTGGGGTTGGGGTGTGAGGTGTGTGTGTGGTGTGGTGTGGGGTGGGGAGGGGGGTGACAACCATTATTGGCATGAGTATATATAATTTTGATAGTAACAAATTCACCCATTTAAATTGAAAAGCATCCCCAGTGACTTCTAGACTTGCTTCGGCTCGTCACGCCGAAGACCCGGGTTCGAATCCCGACATGGGCACAATGTGTGAAGCCCATTTCTGGTGTCCCCGCCGTGATGTTGCTGGAATATTGCTAAAAGCGGCGTAAAACCAAACTCAGTGAGTCAGTCAGTCAGTCTAGACTTGCTTTATTTAGGGCTTAAGCATTGCAGTAGGGAAAATAATGTGGTTCAGGGACTGTGAGACAGGGAATGTGAGACAGACTAGGTCATTGGTATCAACCTGATTTCCGGGGTCTGCTGCGCTACGTGTCGATGCGTAGCGCAGCAGACCCCGGGAACCAGGCAAAAGTCTGTATAAAGTATTGCTTACGGCTTTCTTCACAAAGTGCTCTGAAACGAAATTTACGCGAGAAGGTTCCTTTCCTTACGTAGCAGAAAGCTAAACCTTCACCGAAGTTAACGTTCTTGAGCTGTATTTTGGACGTGACCTCAAGCCTTAAGCTATAACTCAGTACTTTAATTGTATAAATGTCAAAGCCTTAGAGTGAACTCATCTTGTCAGTTCCCTAAAGTTAAACTAGGTGAATGATTGTTTTTGCAAACCGTATTTAGAAATACCCACCGGTGTCAGACTGACTGACTGACTGAGTTTAGTTTTACGCCGCTTTTAGCAATATTCCAGCAATATCACGGCGAGGGACACCAGAAATGGGCTTCACACATTGTGCCCATGTGGGGAATCGAACCCGGATCTTCGGCGTGACGAGCCAACGCTTTAACCACTAGGCTACCCTGCCGCCCCCCACCGGTGTCAGAAATGGGCTTTACATTTCTACCCACGTTAGGAATCGAACACGGACATACGGTGCGACAAGCGAACGCTTTAACCACTGGGCTAGCCTAACGTTCCAGTTGCAATATGAACGAGACTAGCTGTAGGATCAGAATAATCATTAATGTCTTTACTTGAAATTGTCAGTCCCAACAGACGTAACATGCCACCAAAAGCTAAAATACATTTTCATGTTTGACGTTTAAAATATAGTATCATTTCGAAATGATGAGGCCACTTCATTCTTTATCAGTTTCACTATTCATTCTATATCATTAAATGTCAGTTTGTCTTGATAAATATAACAAAGATCCGAGGGTTCCAAGCATTCCCATTCGTCACCACTCGATCTTTTCCGTGACCTTCCCGGAATGACACGAGTGATCATGAATGAATTCTGTGTCCCAACCGGTCATATCAGACCCGGCCAGGCTACATGTCAGCCTGGTTCCCTAGGTAGCCTGCGCTGCACGTATAGGCGCACATATGAACTCATGTAATGGACTTTTATCATAATGGGAGTAAGTACATGAATATTCATACCCATTAACTATTCTGTATGGTTGTTGTTACTGTGACATTGACATTTAATACGCTAACGTTTGATTTGCTAACACAGCGCGAGTGCTTGTACATAGTTATGTTTATACGCTATATTATTATATATGTTATAGGGACATATTAAACAGTGTACAGGGGCGCTATAAACAATCATGCCCATATATGGAAAAGTAGACTAACAACTAGTCTCTGAAATGAACTTATTTCACTGAATAAAGTTCATAGTAAAAAAATATATATATAATGAAAAGGAGCCATGAGACTTTCTTCATTCTTCATTTCCTGAAGCTGAGGAAATCTAGACTTGCCACATTTTCTAGACTTGCGTGGACTTCCTTGGATATATTTGTTTCAGGGTCTGTACGACAGACTAATGGAAAAGCTGCACCTGGCTTTACATAATATATCTTCGTGTTATAGGTTTTTGGACACTTAAGGACTCTCGATTATCGTCTCTTTCGATTATCGCCTGAGCAATTGTAAAACATGTCAGTATCTCGGTAAGGGCGGTGGGGTAGTCTAGTGGTTGAAGCGTTCGCTCGTCACGACGAAGACCCGGGTTCGATTCCCCACATTGGTACGATGTGTGAAGCCCATTTCAGGTGTCCCCCGCCGTGATATTGCTGGAATATTGCTAAAAGTGACGTAACGCCAAACTCACTCACTCACTATCTCATAAAAGATAACGTTATCCTAAACACAAGCCATCATTCAAGAATTTACGAAGTCTGTGTGACGCTACGCAACAGTATAGCCCGTGTAAGCTCTGCAGTCATAAACGCTGAAAACCTATTATCCGACTACAATCAACTATAATACATGTTTACACACACACACACACACACACACACACACACACACACACACACACACACACACACACACACACACACACACACACACACACACACACACACACACACACACACACACACACATATTATTCCAACATTATGCCGGCGGGGGCACCAGAAATGGGCTTCACATTTTACCCTTGCTGGGAATCGAACCAGGGTCTTTGGCGTGACGAGTGAACGCTTTAACCACTCGGCTACCCCGTCGCCCTTGACATTAATAACACGTTGACACGTCCCTTGATTGTTTCGTACAGATTTGATTATTTATAGAGCTCTGGTTACAGGTGGAATGTTATTTAGTGCTGTGTTAAACAACAATCAAAAGGAATGATCTGAGCGAACCCCATTTTGTCTCACCCCTCCTTGCAAGTCTATGGTTATTGCCGAAAGACGCGTATCTAGCCTGTGCATGTTATAAATTTTACAAAACAGAGAAACAGCTTCAACTAATTACAGAATGCAAATAAAATATCAAATATTGGTCCAATAATGTTAACAATTTTGTGAATACATTTTTTTTTACAAAGGACAAGGTATGATAAAGGCCCTTATTGGCCCACAAAATTTCATGATATTCAAAGTTCTACAACAAGATAATTTTAGCATAAAAAATGCTAAATAAATTGTTGAAATTACCTCCATATGCTTTTTTTTGTTTTAGTGCTGTTTTTTTCCTCTTTGAAGACCTCAAAGTTAACCTATTTTACAATATCTTCGAAAAACCTGCATTTTCATACTTTCAGAGGGATAAAAAAGTGTTAGCAAAAGCTTGACCCATCCCAATTTTTTCACCACACATGAAGAGAGTAAATTAGAATGCACTCCTAAAAGATTGTGGTGGGTCACGCTTTTGCTCATATCAAAATGTTTAAAAAAGTACATTTTTTCTGTTGTATGTAATTGCCCCATACAACATCTCAAAAACCACCCTTATCATACCTTGTCCTTTCATCTTTTTACGTACAGATCTTGAGTAATCTCCCTTCGGCGCACTCCGCCCAGTCTCTTTCCTCGTGGTATTCGTTCATTCGGAACACACCACGGAAGAGCAAACAATATGCGTCCAATCTGAGCTGAACTAAAGATTTGTTCATGGTATTAATACGCGTAAGCATACTTCCCTAGTAACTAAGCAAAACATAGTTCTGCGATCGAGAGTTAATAGTAAAAGTCTTTCTGTGTGTTTGGAACACATGTAATCGTACCACTATAATTCGGTAATATATGCTTGATCGAATGCCTAGGCTTCATAATGAATGTATGCTTATGATGTACACTTATGCATATGTATTTGTGAAATACACAATGCCATTTAAAAAGTGGTCAAAAATGGAAGTCGGATAACTGGTAGTCTAAACTCCGACTAGTGTGCTGGCGATTAGGTGCCTGACTCTGAGGGTGTGGGTTCGAATCCCAGATGGGACTCAACCCAACAAACGTACTAGAATCTGTACTTTACTAAGAAAGTGTAATCCCAAATATAACATATGTTACATTTGACCACTTTCTAAATGGCATTGTGTATTTCATAGCTTTCGGCCGTGGGAGCCGTGCCAATTAACACTTATCAGAGGGGTATACAAAGTCCGCAGTCTAGACTACCAGTTGTCCAACTTCTATTTTTGTGGAAGCCGCGGTGGCTGAGCGGTCTAAGCGTCTGACTTTGTGATCGCGATTAGGTGCCTGACTCTGAGGGTGTGGGTTCGAATCCCGGATGGGACTCAACCCAACAAAAGTACTACAATTTGTACTTTACTAAGAAAGTGTAATCCCATATGATACATATGTAGTTTTGTCATTGTATAGGAATCATTAGGAGGAACTAAGATTGTCCAAGTATTCATCACTTTGTGTTGTCATAGTATGCCTGGGTACAAGTAGTAATTAAACCACGAAGGCACACCGACATTAAATGAACTAATGTTCAATGTGTTACAGTTTGTGGGGTAGTCTAGTGGTTAAAATGATCGCTCTTTACGTCGAAGATCCGGGTTTGATGTTCGTGGAATATACTGGTTTCAAATTACACTCACTCAACCATCAGCGTATGGGGCGGTGGGGTAGCCTTGTGGTTAAAGCGTTCGCTCGTCACGCCGAACACCCGGGTTCGATTCCCCACATAGGTACAACGTGTGAAGCCCATTTCTGGTGTCCCCCGCCGTGATGGAATATTTACCTGGGCCTAGATTTTCGATGCTCTCTTAGCGCTAAGATAGTCGTAAGTTAATGTTAATGTATGGCACTTACGACTATCTTAGCGCTAAGAGAGCTTCGAAAATCTAGGCCCAGGAATATTGCTGAATGCGGCGTAAGTACCATATTCACTCATTTCAACGTATGACTCGCATTATTTGTTGTTGAATTGATACTTTATATTATGAAAACAAATACGTATTTATTCATGATCGGTACCTCACTCAGTGTTTCATGGTTAACACCATACAGTGAGAAATCGTCGTCAACCTTTTGCACCATAGAAGTCATTCTCTTCCCACAGAGGTTACTCCTGTCATATCTTCCTACGTAACCTCTGTTCTAATACGTCCCTTTCATGGTGTGAGGCGTTCAAGACTCGTGATTGGAGGCAATCAGATTTAGTTATTGCAATCAGCGACGTTATTTTCAAAAGTGATCATTCGCAAGGCCTCGGTAATTTCCGTATACTTCGAGAAAACTAAACCTCTTCCCTGCGCGATGCGCAAACGTTTCTTCTAGACAGAACTCAGTCATGTTATGGCGGATCGGTGGCGTCTCCATCGCCCTCGTTGACAACGGACAAGCTAGCCATTAAACGTCTTGTTGTGTAACATCAACACAAGTCCCCGGCAGATTAAGGGGATATTTGTGGCCTCACATTTGCTTGTGTTAGTCACGTTGAATCTAAGTCGATGTAACACGTGTTCTGATTGGATAGAAAGAAGGGTGATAATTCATGTTGCGATCTTTTGCCGCTAGGGGATTTTACGATAACCGAGAAATATGGCCGTATTAGAACAGAGGTTCGTAGGAAGATATGACAAGTAACCTCTGTGGGAAGAATGCATAGAAGTAAGTCAGAAGGAAAACAAAATGACTCTTTAATGAACTGTTGCATTGTCGACTTGCCTAGTTCAGCAACACCCGAATGTTGACATGTTCCATGTAATTCACCATCCAGCATCACTAGAATACACCTGACCGAGTTGCAACACGTTTACCAACCTAATGTAGGCTACCCGTAGTCTACCCGCGATTGCCGAAGCGCCGGTAAAGGTCCACTTAACACACCATGATTCTGAGACCGTGTTGTTTCATTCAGAAAGACGTACTGCTTGTGTCACTGTAGACTGATATTGAGTGGATCAGTCCAATACTTTGGTAGCGGATTAAGCCGAGCGGATCTGAATGCATGGTTAGTGTGCACATACCCACCAGAGTTACTTCCCTTGACGTTAACCTTGGATAACCGCTAAGACGATATGCAAACTGGTGAAACAGAGTAGGATGCGTTTTGTGTAGTGTTTCTGGGAACTTAAAACCTACACACTTAAAACTATCATATTTTCTCCACTAACCACTTAACAGTCTAAGCTAAACCACAGGATTTACGACAGTTATAGTTTTACGATCGCTTTGTTGAAACGGAGCCGAGGATCTTCTTCTCAATTTTAGGCCACACAAAAAATATTCTTGTTTCTCGTCCCTTTTTCAAAAATATATGGGGCTGGCGGATTTTATTTTTATATTTTATTTTATGTCCAAAACCCCTTGATTTCTGTGGAAGTTTACACCTTTTCTCCGATAGAAAATCAAAACTTGGAAGTGTAAAAAAATCACGCACATTTTGGGAGTCAAAGTTGCATTTTCTCTAGTGTAAAATGAAAAAAGATTTTTTAGGTTCAGGCGGTAATGAGAAACAAGAATATTTGTATATATGGCCTTATAGTTCCATCTCTTAGAATCCATGAGGTGAACTGACAGACCAAGAAACCACAAACATTTTCATATTTCACATTATATTATTCTTTATTTCATTTTCTTTCCCAATTCAAACATGGTGTTCGTGCACCTCCTGAAGTTATCAATACCCTATATCACAACATCCAATACATACACAAATAAATAAAAGGGGCTATATACAATAGAAAAGGACAGATTGGGTTGAACTATTGATCAATTAGAAGGAACTACTTTTTGGCAGCGGCAAGTTCCTTCTCCCTGGCGAGACACGCCTCTACTCCTCTGCGCATCTCCTGTACAGCCTCGAACTCAGTAAGACCAAGACGACGCTTGTTGGACAGATCGTACACGCCTCCGACACTCTCGGTATGCTCGCCATGGATACCTGGAAAACATGATATAGAAACAGCTTACCACTACAATGTAGTTACTACTGTAGATTCATCTACCAATGAATCCATATCATTTGGTTTAATTGCTTTTATGTTGCTATAAATAGAAAATTATTAGGCTACGCCCACTAACGGGCAACTATTTCTTGATTGGCTGACAATAAAATTGGTGGGGCTTGTGTCATCGATTACAGAAGTGTGTAATTGTGAGAAATGACTTTTGTATATTTTTTTGCGTTTATGTAAGTATAAACGTAGGACGAACGATTATCTCATATCCATTGCTATATAAGGCTTTCGATACTAATAGCATGAAACAGATCTTTCTCAAGAAACATGATTCCATTTCCATTCCAAAATGTTCGGTCTCACCTCTTGGTTGGATGTTGAGGCCCTCACAGAATTCTTTGAAGTCAGGCTGAGCGGCCAGATTAGGGATCTTCATGTGCACAGAGGCACGGAGAGCTGTGCCCAAGTTGCTAGGGCAGAAGGTCAGGTAGCCAAGACCTTGACGTTTGGCGAAGGACAGACCACTTCCCTCCATTGTCTTGATGGCCTGCAGATAAATTAATTTCATAATCCAGTAGGTATTCTATGTATGATATAATAAAACTTACCAGTTGCAATATGTATTATACTGATTATTACAACTTTCTAATATATTCCACGACACTTCAGCTCAGATAATCCATTGAGGGGCGGGGCTATACCAAGGAGGTTGTATGAAATGCAGTTGAACCAAATCCGATCAAAAGCTAAAGGTCAGTTTGAATTAGTGTAAGTTGCTAGGGGTCTATTTTATCCGGGAATCTCAAGGAGAGGGGATTCACCCAGAACTCCCAATGAAACCTGGGACTGTGGAACGGACGATAGGGATTCTCCATATTTGTAAAATGAACCTGCAAAGCCCTTGAATGTTTCCGAGAAAGATAATGGAGAATGTCCACAAAAAAGCAGATATCTTTGAAAATGTACTAACGGTGCAGAGTCTCTTGTACACTGCAGCTAAGTCGCCGCCCTTCTGCATGGAGATGAGACGGAGATGGTCCTCCTCGTTCACCCACACAAGGAAGGTCTTGTCGTTGTTGAAGAAGATGCCTCTGCCAGCGGGCCAGTTCTTGTAGCCCTGAGCGTCTCTCAAGAATCTGAAACAGTTGTATGTACAGTGAACAGTGATTCCAAGAGGTCACAGAGTCTCTCCATTGGCAGCTGATTCCAGGAGTTGCATATCTGAACAAGAACAGATTTCCAGGTCCACATGTCCGGCTCCACAAAGAGGTCTCAAAAGTACGACTATTGTTAGTCATTGTCTTCCCTATGTTAAGGTAAAGGAGTCCTTGGCACTAGGATTGCTTTTTTTGGATCATGTTCATGGGGAAAAGTCTCCTGTGAGAAAGCCCTATTATAGGGCTATGTGCCGCAGGTTACGGATGTTTGTCACTTTGTTAACTTAAATCAATGGGAACGGATAGATTACCAGGCAAGGAAAACCAACAATCCACGGATTTCAGCAAAATCACTAATCCCTGAGCCTTGGAACACTTCACAATAACCAGGGCACGGGTCCACAAAGGGGATCTTAGTACTACCATGATAGCATGCCTATGTAAACAAATAGTGCCAAGGTCACTTTGTGGAATAAGGCCATGGACACCTGTTCAAACTTTAAAATCGACGACTATGTTGTGTAATACCTGTCGTCATCCTTGAAGAGGAAGTGGTCCGCTGTCAACTGTGTCTGGACCTCCTTAGTCATGCCATCCAGAGGGTAGTACTGGCCAGCCAGCTCACCAGAGAACTTCTCGAAGGCGGCCTTGGTGTCTTCCTCCATCTTCAGACATTGCTGTGAAGTGATAATAACGTGTAGAACAAGGAACACCCAGCACACTCACAGGAACATGATGCAAGCATACACCTGATAATTGTGACAGGCTTAAGGTAATAACACTGACTGACTGAGTATGGTTTTACGCCGTATTTAGCAATATTCCAGCAATATCACGGCTGGGGACACCAGAAATGGGCTTCACAAATTGTACCCATGTGGGGAATCGAACCCGGGCCTTCGGTGTGACGAGCGAACGCTTTAACCACTAGGCTACCCCACCGCCCCTAAGGTAATAAGAACGTAAGAGTATGAAACTACTAATGTATTCGCTACCCATTGTCATTCTGCTGCAACTGCCTTCCTAAATATGAATATACAGACAATTGTATTAATGTATCCATTGTGTTGATTTGTTGATTAGCATGACTCAGAAATATTCCAGATATATGACAGCGTCTTTAAATAATCGTGTCTTGAGATGCAGTGTTCACGAATGGCGTTTCAAAGTAACAGGACATTGGATCCTGTAAGTTTCAGATGTCTGTCTGACCCACTGAACATTCACAGGACCCATAGAATAAAATTAAAAATACATTTCAGATTTAGCATTTCGTATAATTGGCAATGAAAGTATAAACAAACATAAGATTTATAAACAGCAAACAGGTGTCACATGTCCCATATAACAACTTCAGTCAAAGTCATTGTGAAATATACAGTCAGACACTGGGGCCGGCGGGTTGTAGACTTCTATCAGACCGTTGGCAAAATATGCCGGATTTGTCAGAGGGTCAGACGCTATTCGTGAATACTGTGGAGATGACATTACGAGCATGATCTGGACAACTGTGATAGATAATGTTCATCGAAAACTATCATTGTTTGCTTATCAAACTGATTTTATTGAACTGAATTCTGAGGGTCACCCATAAAACTTGCGTCAAGCTTAACTCCTATGATAATATTGTGAGAGTCTTTTACAAAATTGTTGCCTCAAATACGCAGGAATTATGAGTCATGTAAAACCCTGGTAAAGTTTGGTTGGTCATAGTTAAATACACAATATTATTATTGCATATGCACCAGGCAATCCAGTTACTGCCATTCTTAGTATCGATCACTATCACTCATCACTATCACTCTGCGGAGTAACGTTTGCTCTAGGCAGACCACCCAGGCTCCCAGGACAGAGCCCTACAACCAATGTTAACACATTATAACTACGAAAGTGGAAATGTTTTTAATATTTTATTTTTAAGATGCTATCTTAAATAAAGCTGGTCATTATGTCTGTCATTCTGATATTCCTAAAAAATGAAACAGGATAAAAATATTTAATATCTTACATAGACCGGGTAAGATGTTACGAATTTTCACATTGCGATAGTACCGTTTTACCAGCCATTCCATTTAGTTATTATTATTCCTATTGTCGGCGTAAGTAAAGGCCTACCTATCGGATTGTTTGGTGCACTCAGCAATATTCCAGCTATGTGGTGGGTCTGTAAATAATTAAGTCTGGACAAGACAATCCAGTGTTCAACAGCATGTGCATCAATCTACGCAATTGTGATATCAATGACGTGTCAACCAAGTCAGACTGGCCACCCGATCCCGTTAGTCCTCTTACGACAATCATACCGAATACCGGATACCTAATTATATACATTCTATTGTGCGCGTGAGGCTCCTATATATAGAAGAAACAGAGAGCGCGAGCCTGCGAGCGATCCAATAAAAATACGAATTTAAGGTAAAAAATAAGGTTAAAATCGAATTCCTCACCTTACTTCCGGTTTAGGAAACCTAAACTGGGGATTTTAACAGCGTTCACTGACGTAAACAGAGTAAAAAGTAATCGTGTGTTGAAATTTTATTCAAATGCATGCTGGGAAAAGGAACTCTACAGTGTGGGAACACTCTGATGGTAAGTGATTTTTGATTGGTAAGGTAAGGTAGGTAAGGCTTTTAAATAAAGGGGGGTACCCCCTTTACCCCCATTATCTTACCTTTTTTTAGCTTTAATATTGTTTAATATTTAATATTAAAAGCTGCTTCAACACAGCCTTCTTTCATCGCGTGCCGTTGCTAAGGAAACAAAATGGAAGTGCGCAAAAATAAATGCGCAATCAAAATAAAAATGGCGGATAGGTATCCGGTATTCTGTAATCTTGCCCAATTCTAACCCGGATCTTCACCTATTGAAATACAGGGACACTATGTCATTACGTACGTCCTTGGAAAGCACAGGTGGGAAGCCATAGCTGTCGTGGCTCCTGCCGACACGGACGCGGGTGGAGACGATGTAGTCGCCAGATGGGTCAAGGTCGCCGAAGCCCAGATTGTCGAAATCGCCCATATCTGGTTCCGGGTGGTCAAGCTTGTCGACCTTGTGGTAGTCCTTGATGACCTCATCGAGAACGTCGGAGAAGACGGTGTAGCCCTCGGGGTCGCAGGCGTAGATACCGACACCGCTGTCGGGGTTCAGACAGCCTGAAACGAAAGTTTAATAGGGATTGGAACACTGATTTGGAACCAAATGTACCGAAATGGCCAAGTTGTCACTTATAAAATAAAATTGTAAAAACAAGTTAGAACAAACGGTAAGATTACAGAACACCGGATACCTTCCGCCATCTTTAAACAAAGTTTACCAAGTTAATAGGTTTAGGGTTAGGGTGACGTGACACTAAACAATATGGCTGGTAGGTATCCGGTATTCTGTAAGTGTACCGAACAAACAACCAGAAACAGGACAAGTTTATAGTTTATAAAAATTATAAAGTTTAAAATCCGAGAAGGGTGTCATTCACAAACTATCGTGAAGTTTTGTTTGAGACTTCTCATCAACTAGCGTTATATACAATACGTATAAGGAGACAGGGCTCTACCAGAAGTGACGCAAATTGAGGCTGCTAAATACCATTCGTCGACCGAAACCACAGTGCTTGCAATAAACGATCGTGAAGCTCTTTGACAAATTAGGCTGCTGAAGTTTTAGAATGACTAAACGACGTACGGGACTGATTTATGAAATAGCTGTACTGCGTTCATAAAATACCTTCAGCATCCCAGTGGGTGGATTTCTCTGGCGATCATTTGTTTTCTTTTGCGTTTTATTGTTTGTTTATTTTAAAACCGCACTCAGCAATAGTCCAGCTCTGTGGCACAATCATTGCGTTAGAATATGTAAAACAATTATCACGATGGCAGGATACTGCTGATTGTACAATGGCATTCAACTGCGTCCCCATCGAAATATTGTAACAACAATTAGATCTTCACGTACAATGTAAATAGACTTTAACAAAATGGCGTCACCACCAGGGATTGGGAACGGCAGGGGCCATGGACCATTTTGCACGATAGAACAAAAATTGCTAAAAGTTTACTATTGATAGAAGTAGGCTAAATTGGGAAATGGCTAATAATTCAGGAAATGGCCGCTAATCAAAGTTGAAAATGTTCCCGCATTACCAACGGCAACAGTAGAATGCCGGATTTCCTCTGATCCGGGGGCGTGTGGCGTACACAAACTGTACCATGTACATAATTTGACAATTTGCATTTTGTCTATGTTTGCATGTTTGTCAATATGTTCAAGTGAGCATTATTCGAAAATGCAGATATGCCGAAGGCCTAATGGCATCAACTGAACTCATACTTTGACATTTGTTGTTGAATTTACCTGTCGTCATAGGAATATTGTCACTAATCAGAGAAAATGTATGCAACGAAGGGGATCTGTAAACTAGGATAACATGCTACAGATTTAGGTCCCGGTAAGTCTACTGTGACTAAATTGACGGCGAATGATATCAGAAAACAAAGGATTTCCCGCAGAATTCAAAACAGTGACGGTTGAAGTCATATTGTAAACCAATAGTGAGTTTTTTCCGCAATCTGATTGGTTAATTACCCTTGTCGAATAGTGTTCGACATACCTGAAAATGATGGCCTAATAATCGCACATTAATACGTTGGCACTATTATATTCAAATATTCATATTATGCCACTGTGGCAACGGTTAGACCCCCAGAATATAACAGTTGACAATAACAAATTACGCGCGATGCGTTGATCTATTATTCTATCTTATGTTTATTATCAATCAATCAACAAACAATATTCGTATGCCTACCTGATTGAATGCATTCTTTCAAAGTTCCGCCGAACTTCGTCTTCTTGTCTTTGAGACCATTGTAGCGTTCCTCTGTAAGATGTTTCTTCAGAAGAGATTTGCAGTTAGCTGCACTCTTCAGTTTGTTCCACAGTTCCTCAACCGAAGCCATTGTAAGTTAGGGACTAAAGAAAACTAAAATTAAAAAGAATGAAACAAAATGAACGTCCGAAAACCTTTCTTCCTTCTTGCACTATGAACTAACGGCCGGCCTCTGCGGTTTTATTGTCACGCGCAGCACGTGACGTCACAAACTGTTTGAATGACGTCACACCCTTACACAGGAAAGAAACGCACAAGCATGACATTCGAAAATTAAGAAGGGCCCGGTCTCGCATGCTTTGATGCAAGTTGACGTGCGCAAATTTAGCCGGTAACCAGCTTAACTCGAAAATATACACTGTAAATAAACTCAGAATAATCAAAGAGCCGAAAATTATCAACTTATTTTTATAAAAATATTATCATTCTTGGATTGTAATTGTACTGTAGTCACGTTTGCAAAATAGTGGTAATAGACTGTCTGATCGAGTCTGCCAATCAAAACTAGTGCATTATATTCAGTCAACGTCGTGGTTTGTTGTGAGGTCTTGACAGCGCCGAACGGTGGGGAGAATTTAACAGCAAAAGTCACAATATGATCGCTCTTTCATTCATTCCAATGGGAAACCTTGTTTTTTTTCTTCGAAGTAAAAACTATTAATATAACACGTAGGCCTACCCTTGTTCAGTCTCATTTACATTACATACTGTTCGTCGAGTCAAGTAAAAACAACAACGACGGTTGTGGATTGAGATTGATTATCTGAGTATAGAGTAGCTGACCTCTTTTGGGACTCGTAATGTATAGATCTATATGAAAACATTTAACTGCACTACAAGCGTGCACTACAAACGTTATGTATGCTGAAGTTTGCCATGTGCTTTTGCAAAGGGACGTCACTCTAAACAAAATTTGAAATATAACGGGAAACTGTCCATGGGCGTAATTACGAGTGGGCTTAAATATGGAAAATCCCGGTAATTTATGAACATAACATAAACACTTGTGGGGGCCGTACAGCATATCGCAATCGAAATTCTTGAACAAATTGAGGACGGACGAGTCGTGAGATGATATGAAATCACTCGAGGTCAGTCAAGTATTGGTACGAAAAAACATTTAAATTGAAAAGGTGCCAAAGTGAGATGGAGATTCTGAGCCTATACTTGCTTCATTTAGGGCTTTAGCACTGCAGAAAGGGCTGGACAGTAGAAAAAACAATGGAGTTCAGGGACTGTACACGAGACAGACTTGGCTGAAGTGATGCAGGTCTCAGACATCTGACACATTTTAAAAAAATAACCGGGTATGGTTCGGACAGACCAAGAAACATAATAGGGGCTAAACGGAATTTGACCCCAGGGCGCTGTTTCACAAAGCTCTCGTATTGCTACGACTATCGTAAGTCAATGTTACAGTATAGGAGGTAGGAATGTTACGAGGAAAGTTACGAGATCTTAGCCTTACGAGAGCTTTGTGAAACGGGGCCCGGGGTTCTGACGTGCCCAAAGGACAGAACTCTAGACAGCGAATTAACTTGTATAGTCTCTATAGCTTCGCGTTCAAGCTTGTTGGCCACGTACAAAACTCACCTTCAAACAACCGTATTCATTGCAAAGACTTGACTATGATTAAAATGTTACAAATACATGTCGAATGTATTGCTTTCTTGTTTTATGATATAACTGTGCAGTAAACTACGTTTATACTTAATATGTTACTCACGAATTGACGGATATTACGAACTGTTTATTTGTCTCGACTATACTTGTATAATTCAATCGACATTCGTATAACGAACAACGGTTATAACGAACTGAAATTAACAGTCGCTTGGAGTTCGTTATAACCGTAGTTTCATGTTTATAGTATCTTAAGTATTATTCATATTGCATGTTAGGACGTACTGAAAGTTTTAACTTGCTTCGCCGAAATACATTCGCAAATCTTAAAGTACATATTTACTGCCCTGGGCCTAGATTTTCGAAACTCTCTTAACGCTAAGATAGTCGTAAATGCCATACATTAACATTAACTTACGACTATCTTAGCGCTAAGAGAGCTTCGAAAATCTAGGCCCTTGGTCCCGATCCACAAAGCGTTCGTAACGTTACGACATGTCGCAACTTTATAGTTTGCCATAGGCTCACGAATGTTGTAGCGCTACGTACGTTTTGTAGATCGAGACCCTGGGCTAGCAATGATTTCGAAAATATAAACCTTTTGTCACTTCCCCCTTTTCGGGCAAACAGAACATTCAGTTTCACTACATTTTGTGAACGTTGCACTTCCAAGAGTCACCTTGAAGACATGGTACATTCGACCAAAATAGATATGTTAGTTGTTGTGGTGCCGCAAAATTATCCTTTCAATAAGTTTGGCAACATGAACAGAACAAGTCTCACCTTTAAACTGGAAAACTGATCCCGCTAATAGTGAAGTGAGGTCTGGATGACTTCGCGAGCTTTTATACTGGTCAGACCTTCGATACCTCTTAGTGTTTGTTTCAGATATGTGTAATATTACCCAACACCTAGCTACTAATTAGCTTAAGATCGCTTTGACTATATCCAAGGGCGGTGACGGTCAAAAGGGCGAACTTGATACCCCTCAGTCAGTACTGTTATATAAGACTGTTCCGGTGAGTGCAGAACTGCATATACATCAATAACAGGTTCGCTGGCACTACTTAGCAGATATAGATTTATTCAAAATAGAAACAGTGACGATGTAACTCTTGGCCATATTACTTAGGCCATATGTAAAAATAGTCCTGTTTCTCATTACCGCCCGACCCAAAAATTAGACCCAAAAATTACTTTAGATCCGACCCTAAGATTCCAAAAAAAATTTACACTGGAGAAAATGCAACTTTGACTCTCAAAATGTGCATGAATTTTCTACGTTTTGAATTTCTATCGGAGAAAAGGTGTAAATTTCCACAGAAATCAAGGGGTTTTGGACATAAAATAGGATAAAATGAAAAAATATTATCCGCCTGCCCGCCCCATATTTTTTTGGAAAGAGTGATGAGAAACAAAAATATTTTTTATGTGGCCTTAGAGAGATATAATTACTTATAAGTTGAAGCGAGTTAGTGTTAGTTATAATAGCTTCTTCCTCTTTTCCGTGTAAACGTATTAGTTATTTGTTTACTTAGAGAGGTATTACTTATCTGTTGAAACGAGTTAGTATAATAGCTTTTCCCTCATTCCCGTGTAAACGTATTAGTTATTTGTTTACTTTGAGAGATATAATTTATAAGTTGAAACGAGTTAGTATAAATGCTTTTTCCTCCTCCGTGTAAATATATTAGTTATTTGTACATATTGCAATGTTACTGTGGCATTTCACTGCCGATAGTAACGCTTAACGCTTTGGTAAATTATTCAGAAAGAGAAAACGAACAAATTGAAGATATTTTTTAACTGAATTCTTATTGCAAATGCCATATATTCTGACGTGAAAAACAAAAATATACCCAGTATATGTGACAGTTGTAAAACTATTAGAGTTTGCCATTAAAAACAATGCTTTACGTTTTCAAGATTTAAAAAAAAATTCAACCATACGTATCAATTCAAATTTTTTTAGCACTGAACGTTGTGTGTTCCTTTCAGAACTACCTGGCTTTTCATCCTTGTCTTATATCTTATATGCGTATATATTGTTGCTATCTGTTTAACAGTTGTTCAGAAAACAGGCGAGACCCACCATCTGATCATAAGAGAAGTATTTGTTATTGTTAATATATGTTATTAAATATTATTGATAAATCTGTAATTTCTTCCAAATGCAGTTACCAACTTCTGCAGGCAAGTGCATCGATGATGTAACCTCCATTAGTGTAGGCCATATGTGTTATGCTTACGTTGAATTGTGAAAAAATATATACAATATTTGGAATGGTAGTTTTTGCGTACTATGGCGTGACTGAATGTGGTATTTTGTCCTTTACTTTAGCAGAATCGTTCTCTATGTTATGTTTTTCGTGTTTATGTCATAAAAATACCATCTTTTGTTCTGGAAAAAAGTGACATTACACTACCGCTTGCCACCTCATATAAGCCGATATATAGGCAAAATATTCGTACGTTTCAAGAGATATATAACTTCCTCTATTGCAAGAGTGCCGCCAGTCGACGTATCGAAGTCAGCCTTCACCTTGGCTCTATGACCGCCTCCGTGGTGTAGTGGTTAGAGCGTCCGCCCGGAGAGCGGAAGGTCGCGGGTTCGATCCCCGACGGCGTCATACCAACATGAATATGGTACTTGTAGGTCCCTGCCTGGTGCTCGGCATTAATGGGTACAACAAGGACTGGTCGGCTCGGAGTCAGTATAATGTGTCTGAGTGGGGTATTCATGCTTCACTGCGGCATGGGATCTCAGTGGGCTAGCACTATAAAACCAGCTTAAGTCTGGGCTAGTACAATCAGCCGCACATACACATACACACGCATGCCCGTCGTCATATGAGCGAAATATTCTCAAGCACGACGCAAAACCCAATTTCACCTCACCTCACCTTGGCTCTATCTAGACTTGCCACATATACTAGACTTGCATGGGTTGCGTTGGGTATATTGTTTCAGGGTCTGTATGACCGACTAATTACGGAAAAGCATGGGACGGTTAAAAACAAAACTGCATCTCAGTCACTGCAATAGGAGTTCAGTCTTTGGGGTGAAATATAATAGCGTTTGCGCTCAAATATGTAAACAGTAACTAGACTTGGAAGTGCAGGCTGAAACTTTGGAAAGACTCAGAAATTATTTGTCGTTATTGTTTTATCGACATTCAAGAAGTTGATGAGTCAATAATGAAGCATAAGACAATATGGATAACAACTTCTTGTTTATTGCATAGAGATACGTTTCGGTGTTCTGTAAGAGTCAAGTAGCATCTACACCGAAACGTGTTATCAAGCTAAAAGTATTATAAGCCTGATAACGGTGTAAGTTATTATACATAAGGTGCTTCATTAATATTTGTCGTAGCTAATTTTTTTAATAACTTCCGTACAATTCGACTGGCGATGATTGAGGTCATATACCCGTAGTCTGTCCGCGATTGTGGAAGCGCCTGTAAAAGGTCCACTTAACACACTGGTCATGTTTCTGAGACCGTGTTGTTTCATTCAGCCACTGAAAAGAGAGCCTTTGTTCAAGGGCTATAGTCTGTGTCTACAATG